CAGAGAGACGGGGACCCGAGTCTCACTCCAGTGCAACTCTACGGCAGGCAGGGCAGGAGCAGCTCTGCTGGTACCTTCGCGGGCACAGATCATGGCTGGTGGTGAGGAACAAATAATTAGGGGTGATCTATATCTGCATGATGAAAAATAACTAGCTTGCAGAGACAAACATGACTGCCAGTAATGTCAGGCTGCTAGGAAGAGACCCTTTCCCTTCCAGCAAAGTAACAAATTAATTGGGCTATGTGGCTGTTGCAAGCAAAGTCACAAGTTTGCTTGCTGAGCACAGCCTGTGTGCTTGGTGACAGTGACATATGGGAGACAATTAAATAACCGCGGTTATGTCCAGGTTAGTGAGAAAACAGATCCCCTTATGAACTGGGTTTATACCATGTGTCTGGTGCAAAGATAGACACACAACCTAGGGCTGGAATGGAGACACGCTGACTTCCCGCTAAGTTTACAAGCTTCTTGTTCACATCTGCCTACGGATTTCACTGTCGTATAAAACCTCACCCTGCCCTGGCCCTACGGAGCTCTCTCCATTCCCCGACTGGTGTGGAGGTTTGTTCTTTAACAAAGGGTTATTTGGTCTTTTAGCTTGATGGCTAAAGCCTGGACGTATAATTTACCATCCCAGGGTTTCTGAGCTCGGCTGTTTCCCCAAGCCGAGCCCAGCCAGCCAGCTCCAATTCTCCCGCCGTAGGTGGACATGTTCAGCATTCAAGAGTGACACAGAGCTGAACAAATCCAACTCTCGGTAACAAACAACCCAAAGGCAATCAGCTGGGGGTTAAGGTTTGACCTGCTATGGAAAATGCAAATCATTGGGAAGTGGCAGGAGGACGCATGGGAAAGCTGCGGGGATGGGCTGGGATGCTCCTACCGGATAAGGACCAGCCTGAAGGAGACCAGCCCAACCCCTCGTCCTCCTCCCAGCCAGCTGGTACCGAGGGGACGGGAGACAGAGCAGCTGGGGAAGGACAGAGGCAGCAATGGAGGAAGCAGCCCTGCACCATTTTGTGGCTCCTTCCAGCAATCCCAGGGGCAGAGCGCTGCCTATTTTTAGCTCCCAAGGTAGCTGAAATACCACCGTGATATTCATTAACGAAAACCCCGTCGGATGGGAACTGCAAGGTGGGGGGG